TGACGATACCATTATTGATAAGACCTCATTAAATTAATTTAATGTTTCATTTTATAAACTTGACTTTGTGTTATTTAAAAAGGACATACATTTTCTTTTAACTCTATACCAAATAAAACATTTTCTGATCACAAACGACAAAGCTATTGGGGCTTAATCTTAACAGAGGAGTGAAATAGTAATAAGTAAAATAAAGAATTCCTTTCAAACGTGGAAAACTCATTACGGAGAGAAAGAGTTAACTAAATGTATGTGCACACAGTTGGAATTATAATAAAGGGGGATGGGAGTTTAATGTGATGAACACGCGTATTATATTTATATACAACATATATATTCAATAAACAAGATTTATATTAGGTTTAGATTGCTCACCATATTAATAGTTCATTTGTGTTTTCTACTTGCATATACATTGCAGATGAAAGCTGTGTACATATTGTCAATAAAAGTTATGTTTATATCTGTTTAAAAAGAAGTTTGTTTAATGTAGAATCAATTTGGAAAGCTTTTCCAGATCTTCAAGAAATTCAAGGGACTCGATGATTTCAAAACAATAATTCATGTTGAGCTAGTCTTCCAGCAAGACCTCAACTTTTGTTCAAAATTCTAGGGTGTGTACTAGACTCGAGCGTGCGTTCATAGGATCTGCTTTCATCTTTATAGGCACTAAAGATTCTAATTAAATTTTTAATACTTTTATTTAAATCTATAAGCCTTAACATGTTTATTTAGATCTAAGACTCTGTGGTTGAAACAGCCGTTAATGTTATCAGACAACATACTATAAGGTGTTTATTTTTTTAATACTATATAATTATTTAATTGGACTGAAATTATGAATTATTACCTTAATATCGTGTCATATGTATTTGTATGTATCTTTCATTCACATTAGTAATTTGTCATGTCATTGTATAAATATCATTGAATTAAATGTTCAGTTTAATTGTAAATCATCATACACATCGTTGATTAATTTATGTACAACAGGGTGTGTATGGTGTGTCTGTTGGGCTCAACTTCGAGGACTGATATAATTATCAAGCAAAAATAAAATATAATTAAATTTAATACACGCACATATTGCAATTAAAGTTACTTTATCACCTAGACAGTTTAATATCTATTAATAAAAATTAAAGTCCCGACAACCTTATAGCACCAGATATGGCTACATATTTAAAAAGTTTGTTCAGTGATTGGTTGTTTGTAGTTTGGTTTGTTAAATATCAAAAGCTTATTGTATTACTGTCAGTTTTGCCCAACATCGGAATAATTACAGTTTTATCGGAATAAATCAATATCTTTTTTAAAGACATCAGAGTTCAGTTCATGAAAAAAAGAATAAATGATATTAATCAGATTTCCTAACAAAACATAGCACGCAGGTTTAAGAGCCTTTTTCATAATTTTGAATAAATCTTTGTTGTTTTTTTTTCCTTTTTATTTTAATTAAGAAAAGAAACGTAAAAAATTTACAGAAAATTGACTATTGCAGTTATACTCGAATAAATGAAAATCAACTTCTATGGACCCTGGAGGAACTCTCTGGGTATGTTAAGGAATGAAAATGTTCACTGTGGGGACGAGCGAAAGCTGCCCTTGTGGAGCATTACCAGAAAATGCTGAACATGTCCTCAAAGCTTCATACTATATCAAGAGGCCCGAAGAAGACTTACGCCCCAAAACCCTCCTATAAAAGAAAAACTATACGGAGAACTGCCTGATCTGGAAACCAATGAGTAGTTAATCTCAGAGGATTACTGATCTGAGCCCTCTGACAAGTATCATGAGAACGAAGAAGAAGTTCACTGTAAAGAATAATTCACAACAATACTTACCAGAAATAATTAGTTCTGTAGATATACAACACAGCAGTAGAAGGCGATACATTTTGTTTTTTAAGCAACACAACCAAAAATACACAGCTAGAGCTTGAAGGTGAAGCCAACGTTTGCCTCCCGTGTTAGTTTGACTACATTATATATAGAGTTTCAATTGTGTAATTAATTGAAAAAAAAGGATTAAAAGATTTGTTCATACAGAAACAAAAGAAAGGGGGAAAAACAACAAAAGTATGACAGAAAAGAGGACACAGTCTAACACAAGAGGACAGAAAATTAGATAAAGCCTAACACAAGAGGACAGAAAGCAGGACAAAGTCTATAAGGCAACAGAAAGGAGGACAAAGTCTAACACAAGAGGACATAAATGAGGATAAATTCTAATACAAGAGGTCAAAATAAAGGACAAAGTCTATCACAAGGCAACAGAAAGCAGGACAAAGTCTAACAAGAGCACTGAAAGAAATACAAAGTCTAACACAAGAGGACGGAAAACAGGACAAAGTGTAAACAATAGGAGAAGAAAGGAGGACACAAACTAACACAAGAGGACATAAATGAGGATAAATTCTAATACAAGAGGACAAAAAGGAGGACAAAATCTAACACAAGAGGACAGTTAGGAGGACAAAGTCTAACACAACAAGACAGTAAGGAGGAGTGTGACAGACGGGCAAAAAGGACAGATGGACACACTGATAGGTGGATATTTTGCACAAACCTAAAAGCGGCTTTTGCCCATTACGGGGCCGCTAAAAAAGACAATATATCATTTTTTCAACTAATAGAGTGATTGGTTTTCTGTTAATAAGTAATGAATGCTAGATTAAGAATAATGAAACATTTTTTTACTAGAAAAATCGTAGGAGTCGTTGTTGAGATCAGCGTCCAGGTTCCTCCGCCAATTTGCAGTTTCCAGGTTCCATGATGTTATGACTTGAATAGAGATATTGTAAAAAGAAAATTTATAGTCCTTTAGGAGTTTGAAGTAATAGGTTTGACTTAAACATTTTTAATACCACTAAATACATCACTTTATTGAAAATGGTTTTAAGTTACACAAACCAATCAAAGAAATTAACAAAATTTATTTCAATAACATATTCACATAAGTTCTTTATGCATGACACTGTTTTATTTTATTTTTTTTCAAAAAGGTGCCAGTACGCCCTACAAGTGGGTTCCGTCACAAACAAAGCCCTGGTATTAAGGATTTAATTTTATTGATTAATAATAGACTATTTCATCAAACAACGCTGTAGATGCGATTTGTAATTTGATACTATGCATGATAATATGCACGACTAGATGCAAGACGCAAAGGACAAAATCATCTTTTTTGCGGTAACTTCTGTATTATGTTTGATATGATAACATGCATGATTTAAAAGTCACCTGTTTCTGTCCCCCATGGTCAGCAAGGGTCCCAAGTGGCCAACGCAACGACCAACGTAATTTACTTTCCCCCAACTAATTTTAGGCACCCATTAGTGCTTGGTGGAACCCTAAAGATCCCAAAATTAAAATCCCAGTCTTCACAAGTGGTGGAATCCGAGACCTCTTAGTTCTGAAAACCAAGCACTTTACAATTCAGCTTGCGCAAAATCTATACCCTCAGTAAATTTTTTAAAAAGTAGAAAGAAAAATAAAATAAAATTTGTAAAATAAAAGTAACATAAAATGGAGATCAAGTATTATGTGAGCTCTCATCAGTCGTTAAACGACTAAAGTTTTTCTAATAGCACCAATAAGATGAAAGGCTCGATAGCAGTTATGGTCGAACGATCTCACTAACATAGACCAATCAGTTAAATCATCTCCATGCAACTGATGGAAGGGAATTTCATTTCAAGGTGGGGATTTTTTGAACCCCAAACCCCTTTTTCGCTACGTCCATGTCTTAAGTTTATATTAAATAAGTCTGCTGATCTTTGTCAGAAACTAAAACTGAAAAAAATTATGGCCATATCACCAGGTGTTCAGGGCTTGTTAAGAGAACAGTACCAAAAAAAAAAAAAAGAAGTGGCAGATAGAGAAAGTGGGTGGGAAGACAATGGACGGGCCTGTCATTGATAGGCATTTTATTCCAGGCGAAAGACAAAAGTAATGGAGAAAGATAGCAGACAGATCATGTGTAGTGCCCCGACGCTGTAAAAGACAGAGGGGCAGGTGAAGTTGAAAACTAAAACACACAAACACATCGCATTTTTTTTAACAGTCTGTGCAGGGCCGATTTATCTACACAAACTACAGCTTAGGGCCAGCAAGAATTAATTAATCAATACTGCGCTGCATTTCTATTGTTCGTAGATTTAGACTGTAATTAAAGTAAATTTTTAATTAAAACGCTGTTCGTCCAGCACAGGTGCTGGGCAGAAAACACACAATCATTTTTTAACTATATCAAGTATATCTATCTATCTATTCATCTAATTATTTATCTATCTATTCTATGCATCTATCTATTTAACCATTTCTTTTTTTTTTCTTTCTCTCCAATTTTTTCTATAATTTTTTTTTCCTATTTCTCTATATCTCTCCTCTCTTTTTCTCTTTCGGGTTTCTGCCATGGGAAACCTATCTTGAGTAATGGTGAGTGAATTGTGATAATATTTCAATCTTTCCTCCAGTACACTAAGTGAACACATCGTTAAACACAACAGAGGCTCTGTTTGGCTTCTTTATCTTACTACTCGTTTCCTCTACCAAACGTTTCCATTTGAGAACCACTTCGAGGCCGAGAAGCCTCTCTAGGGTGGTGGAAACAACAGTAATAAAAAACGTTATTCACGAGAGATTCTACTTGCATTTTTTTTTTGGTCGAATCTTTACAGCAGAGACTGCAGGTGATTGTCAAACATTCTTTAGCTGTTTGATTTGAATAAAATATTTCCAGATTAACATCGTCTATCTTTTAGGCGCAAAATTATTTCATCACGGCAATTTAGAAATAACAAAGCTAAAAGAGATAGCTGCCAGGTCGTGTGATATGCACCTTGTCACGATGGTCCGAAGTTCAAACCATACTCCCCCCCCCCCCCCCCCCACAACAACCGTCATGGGGGATAATCTTCAATTTTGAAGGAACATACAAACATGCCCAACAAACCAATATTTTTTCCCCCACAAAAGTTATTCAAGAACAAATACGTGTCCAACCCTCAGAAGTCTTTAATCATATTTGAGACAAAAATCATGTAAAACAAGTTCTTAAGACATTTGTACAAAATGAAGTCATACTTATCACAGTGCTTAACAAAATAAAAATAAAAAATAATGCAGTTGCAGTGAATAGGATAGGAGTGTTTTATATTGAATGCAGTATAATGGAAGGAAAAAGGAAAAAACAACACATCATCACAACCAAAATTAAATACCATTGTAAAAAAAACAAAGCTTCTAAGCTTAATACAAATAACACAACTAGTCTGTAGGATGGAGAGCATAAAAGGTAATCAACAATATGATAGTCAATAAACTTGTTTTGTCGGGCTAGTTACGTTATTGCAATGTACAGACACAACAATCAGTGATCTATGTTGTACACATGTGACATGAGTAAGCTATCAGTGATCTATGTTGTACACATGTGACATGAGTAAGCTATCAGTGATCTATGTTGTACACATGTGACATGAGTAAGCTATCAGTGATCTATGTTGTACACATGTGACATGAGTAAGCTATCAGTGATCTATGTTGTACACATGTGACATGAGTAAGCTATCAGTGATCTATGTTGTACACATGTGACATGAGTAAGCTATCAGTGATCTATGTTGTACACATGTGACATGAGTAAGTTATCAGTGATCTATGTTGTACACATGTGACATGAGTTAAGCTAATGAAAGGTGTAATGGTTAGTTAATTTTCAGCAGAAAAGGAGTAAAAGGGGGGGGGGGTATTGAAAGCCTTGTAGGAAAATTAAAATTCAGAAATAGATATAAGTTTTACAAATGGAAACGACTTAAATAAGCAATGCTACAAAGCTTCAGAAGTCCCTCAATACATAAAAGTAGAATATAATAATTAGTGTATCTAACAGGTTTCTACAAGAAGGTAATATCAGTGTGTGTATTATTAGAGACATTATTTACCATAAATTAAACCTAGATGTATACTGGTATTAGCATTAAATAACTATAAACTTGAAATCTTTCAACATTAAAATGAAACATTCTTGTAAAATAAAGACTTTAATTAAAAAAAAAAAAGAAGATGACTATGTTGTGCTGAAGTGTATACACATCCCACTCGAACAGACAGAATCAACATTACAACAAATTAAAACTTAAAAAAAAAAAAAAAAAAAAAAATAATCAATTTTTTTTTTTGTTCTTGGAAACCATGAAGGAAAAGCAGTCTAGATTTAAAGAAAAAAAAACTTTTCTAAAGAAAAGCTTATCTTAGAGGAATAATTCTACATGTACAACTGCATCACTCAAAAATGTAGAAATTATTTCCCTTTTTTGATATTATACAAAAATAATATAATTAATTACCAAGTTTAATTTACTAATCTGTTGATTTTTAGATTGTTTCATATTTTGTTAAGTACAATAAATAATTGTTTCAATTTTCAACTTAATCCCAGTATGGGTGTGGGAGAAAAAAAAGTGTACAATTATGTAAGGGGGGAAAAAAACAAACATATCAATATCTGTGAATACTGAAGGATTAGTTTTCCTTGTTTGTTTTTTTAACCATAGTTTAACTACAGCTAGCATTGAGCTGGATGCATGATGACTGTGTGTTAAACCACTAGGCTTACATAAAGGGGTTCCAGAGTTCAAATCTCGGTGATGACTGTGATTTTTACTTTTGGGATCTTTAGGGCTGCTCTGATGGGTACCTGACATTTTGTGGGGAAAAAAAAAGATGGTTGTGGTGGTCACATGACACCCTCATAAACCATGGGCCACAGAAACAGATGAACTTTACATCATATGTCTTAGATCACAAGGGTTTGAAAGGAACTTTACAACATATGTCCTTTAGATCACAGGGTATGAAAGGAACTTTACAACATATGTCCATTAGATCAAAGGGTATGAAAGAAAATTTACATCATATGTCCCTTAGATCACAAGGTATAAAAGGAACTTTACAACATATGTCCCTTAAATCACAAAGGTTTGAAAGGAACTTTACATCATATGTCCCTTAGATCACAGGGTATGAAAGGAACTTGAGCTAAAGTATGATGATGTGAATGCTAATAATTTTAATATTATGGCAGTACATCTACAATCTGAAATATTATTTTGTATATATAGTTTGATTTAAATAGCAGTTTCTTTGCTCATCGGAACTGCATGTCTTTCTTAAACTGATGGACATTTTAAACAAATATTTAGTATCAACAGGAGCAAGGACTATTTCAAAAGAATGACGTCTAGATTTAAACAAAAAAGCTTGAGAATTTCAACTGGTGACAAAACAAAAGATGGTCAGACAATACATACAAATTATTTTAACAGATGAAATCTTATTTTTATATAAAAAAAAAAAAAAAAAACAATGTCATGGATATCTCAGGCATATTAGTAAACAAAATTTAGACAAAAATGAATGCTATACGAAAAATATGATTTAAAAAAAAATATTTAAAAGCCTTACCAAACATAAAAAAAGCTGATTCCAAAAGATTATAATATCAGGTTACGTGGACTTCAAAAAAAAAGCCCACAAAATTATTTTATTGAAACTCTTGAAGGAAGTATTGCTAAGGACTATTCATTCAAATTAAAAAAAAAAAACACTAATCAGACCTCAATAAAACCATTTTCCCTTCAAAACTTTTCTTTTGATTCTTCCTAAACTCAAATAAATGTTTTAGCTCAAGATGAATTTGCCGGAAAATAACATTAAAAAAACAACCATAAAAAAACTAATAGTATGTAGTATCTGTCATATTTTGTAGCTAGAACCATTATCATAATATTGATAACATCAGATGTTTTAGGTAGAGTAGATTTCTTTTTCTCTATGAAATATTTACTTTGACTAAGACTTTAAATCTACTTTGATTTTCCTTTGTGAGGCTGCATAATAAACACATTTTTTAAAAAGCAAAATTATATGTCTATAAAAACATGATCAGGCAATTACAGGTAATAAATACATTCAGTCATGAAAAGTTATCTTTTAATTGATGTTTCTTTCCTTTAGTAGTCAATCTTTTGTCTTAGGAAACCACACAAGCCCATCCCCACCAGCCAAGATCTTCAGGATCTGATGGGTCTGGCTTGGGCTCTTCATAGGTACAAGGAAAATAAAGCCTGCAAAAATAACAAAAGCTCTATACTTCTATATTAATGCTATGTCTAAAAAAAACAACCAATGGTCATTTTAATAAGGCTATGCAGACACAGTTGCAACCTCCATATTTTGTTACATCTAATGCAGACAAAGAAAATATACAAAAGTATAATAAGACAATGGGTCACAAAAACAGATGACCTTTATATCAATTGTCCTATAGATTGCAAGCCCTGAAAGGGGAACTTTACCTTTTTTATAATAAGACCAGTAGCCTTGTATGCAAGTGAGACATAGACACTGATAAAGACAACCAAAAAGCTACTGAATACTTGGAAAAGGAAAATACTTAGAAATACCAATGGTGATATACAAGAGAAAACTGGGTGAAGGAATAGCATTGTTTGACTGCTCCAGAATTGCTGATCTTCGTCTCAACAGGTCTGGGAAACCAAAAATTCTCGACCTGTATGGTGACATGTATGTACTACGCAAGACAGCAGGGTTTCTGTCCAGGCTTTTGCAAGAGAGGATTTGAGTCTCTCAAGCCCTCACTCAAATGAAGTTTGATGATGATGATGATGATAAAGACAACCAAAAAGCTACTGAATACTTGGGAAAGGAAAATACTTAGAAAAATCTATGGTGCTATACAAGAGGAAACTGACTGAAGGAAACTCACTAGCCAGAAATGTATGAATTGTATGAAGACCACCTATAGTGACAAAAATGAACAAGAACAGAATACAGAGAGGCAGTTCAGCTTGAAAGAATGTCCGAGAACAGAGGAGCAAACACCAAAAGTCAGGCAGCCCATAGGTCAACCATGAATACAATAAATAGATGATGTAGAGACAGATCTACAAAAGCCTAGTGTTCAGGCATGAATACGAAAGGCTCATGAAAGATCTGAATTGAGAGATGTGCTGAGCAGGCCAGAACCTTCCAAGGGTTGTCGCGCCACTGGGAAAGAATGCAGACACAGACATTCTGTGAGTCTATTATTCTCTAATCAACATGTTTGCCTGACTTTGGCAATGTTTTTTTTTTCCTTTGGGTTTCAAACGCATGTCTTGCAAACCTCTTAAAGAGGCCATCAGAGTTGATCTTTATAGCACTTCCCAAGGTACCTCTGAACAGTTCTGTAATGCTGACACATGACAGACTTCCTCTAGGTAATATTCTAGAAAGGGATGCCTAGTAATCTTGTGACATGGAGGAACACTTGAATTTACCTTTGGAGATTCTTTGCCAGGACCTTATAAGGTCTCATGTACCTTAGGATTCTATCCTTTTCCTTCTAATTTGAGATCATTTGAGTTAAAACTAAGCATACCAACTTCATTAATATTAACTCTTTCTCTCTGTAATTATTTTCCACATACAGATGGAATTATTTATTTTGCTCATTAATGTTTCACTAATTAAAACTTCAATAACTTTTTTGCATGTAATCAGGAAATGCTATATTAGGTATATAATTGTAGAAGAATGCATGCTCTTTTTATATCGTACAAATTAAAGTTTATAAAAACAAAAATTAATTTAATTTAATTGGGTCCAATCAACTTTAGTATTTGTCAGTTAGGAGTCAAAGAGTTAAATTACTCTTTCTGGTTTGGTAATGGGCATATAATATGATTGTATATATAGCTGAAGTATATCAGTGGAGACATATAATTATATATTAATTATATATTTATAAGAAATACATTTCTATCAAACAACAATGATATATTTATATATATCACATGAATAAAAACTATCAATAATCTGCTTTAATCAGTGGCCAAGATTTGCAGCCATACAAGATTGCATACATATCTGAATTAAATCAGTGGAAAAAAATTGACTTATTTATATTATATATACATTTCTATTTTAATCATATGAAGAAAAACAGTTTCTATATATGTTATAAACAGTGTTAGAAGGTTTTGATAAAATCTAAAAATTAAAAAAAAATGCAAAACTAAAACTCCTTGGTTATATCACAAGTTCCTCAGAAGTTGCAAAGACTTTCCTTCAGGGTACAGTACCAGTAAAAAAGGAGAAGAGACAGACAGTGATGGGAGGACAAAAGAAAATAACTGACAGCATGTCTTTAAAGAGATTCTGTCGAAGGCAAAAGACATGAAGTATGGAGAAAGATGGTCAACAGATTTTGTGTGATGCCCCCCTAAAGGTCCATCAAACTAAAGAATAGATGAGGGTGAGTTAACCAATGTGATGTACTATAGAATTTATTATTCACAGTTTCTCGAAACTCACAAGGACTTTAAAATACATCAAGCTTGTCTGTCATTTTTTACTTGACAACAAAATATACAGGTCATGTGAAATGCTACACTTATTCTTAATCTTCAGAATCAAAGACAGTGCTTTATTATTAATCACAAGAAGGGATCAAGAAATATTAAACACAAAATTCTATACTTAGGGGCATAACTGGTGGGAAGCGTGGTCGAGAGGCTAAGTGCACTTGAACTTGGCTTGTCTTGGCTACCTAGAAAGGGGCTCGAGGTTTGACACCCGACTCGGGCAGAGTTGTGTTTACTGAGCGATTAAAGGCAGCACGAAAAACCAACTCCTAAATACCCCCTCCCCCCCACTGGTCCACAAATGAGATTGGACCCAAGCGCTCTGAGCATGCTAAAAGCATGAAAGTAGCGCTATATAAAAGCTATAATAATAATAATAATAACTATTGTTAATATAAGCATAAAACTCCTTGGTTGATAAGCATGACACATGGCGCTCAGTAAACACAACTCTGCCCGAGTCGGGTGTCAAACCTCGAGCCCCTTTCTAGGTAGCCAAGACAAGCCAAATTCAAGTCCTGTTGATAAGCATGAAAGTAGCGCTATATAAAAGCTATAATAATAATAATAATAACTATTGTTAATATAAGCATGAACATGTATAATGTCTATCTAAATTAACTGCCTAAAAGAGACATTTTAAGACATTGCTATAATTACCTGATGCATGTAATATAATGTTGACCCTGAAAGCTGTTGATTAAAGCATCCAACCTTTCATTGTTAAACCCTTGT